GCTAAAAAATACATGATGTATTGTCTCTGGTTGTTGGCAACCATCACAATTGCCATTTGGATGTTTTCCAATCAGATGCAGTGATGAGTTTAGTCCAGAGTGTCCCAATTTTATCCTGCTGTTAATGCTCTGCTCTCTTCTACTACTACTACTACTACTACTACTACTACTACTACTACTACTACTACTACTACTCCCCCAAGTGCTTCCTGTTCCTACTTCCCTTTGTATCTGATATAAATGTCTTCCTTTGGTGTTACTGTCCCATAGTTTTTGCCATTGTTGCTTGATAACCACTTTTGTAAGAGATTTGACTTCTGCTCTACTGATGGGTACCATAATATCAATCTGGTTTGCTTTCAAACCACATTTTGCCAGTTGATCCACGACTTCATTCCCTCTAATACCCACATGCGCTGGAACCCACACAAATTGAACAACAATTCCCAGATGAACTAACCTAAACATGCTTTGTAAAATTTCATGTAAAATATCCTGACGACATTCTGAAGAGAAGTTGTTTATACTCTCCAGAGCTGCACTGGAGTCAGAGCAAATGACCACTCGCATTGGCTGTATTTCCTCTACCCACTGAAGTGCTAGAGAGATAGCCATAATCTCTACTGTATATACTGCAATGTGATCACTTGTACGCTTTCCCACTTTGACTTTTAACTCAGGAACATAAAATGCACAACTAGTTAGACCATTTTCTGGATTTTTGGATCCATCAGTAAATATTTTTATAAAGTGCCCATATTGTTCATGTAGAACAGTGTTCACATAAGCCTGTACATTGATTTTGTTTTTCATTGAATGTACCCGTTTCAATAGTGATAAATCTACTATAGGTTGAGGTAGCAACCATGGTGGAACAGCTGATAACAACACCGTCGGACTAATATTCCATTCTTTAACTTTGAATTCCTTACATATTTCCAAAACACAAAAACTCTTTTTTTATTTTGTTACTTTCCCAACTTGTTTGTACAGTTTGTTTAGTAGGGTGAGTATCTTTATGACCCTGTAGATTTGCCCAGTAATTAACAATTAACTGCTTTCTCCTCAAAGAAATAGGTACTTCTCCGACCTCTACCTGAAGTGCCGACACTGGTGTAGATCTTACTGCCCCACAGCATATCCTTAGTGCTTGTGCCTGGACTCTATCTAATTTTTGAAGAGAAGAATATGCAGCTGAACCATACACTATTAGTCCATATTCTATGGCTGATCTAATTAAGGCTGTGTATACGTTCCTCAAAGCAGCTTTATCAGCCCCCCACTTAGTGCCTGCCAAGCACCTCATAACATTTAAAACCCTTTTACATTTATCTAGGCCTATACTACTTTATCAATATGAATACTCCATGTGACTCTCTCGTCCAACCATATTCCCAGAAATTTAAATGTATTCACTTTCTTTAGATCTTGTCCATAAAGTTTTAACCTAACCTCCTCACCTATCCTTTTCCTCGTAAAAAATAAAGTTTCAGTTTTTTCCACCGACAATCTAAACCCCCATGTCAGAGACCAGCTTTCAATTTCCGTAATGGCTTCCTGAATCTTAGCTACAATATATTTTACATTTCTGCCCCTTTTCCAAATAGCTCCATCATCTGCAAAAAGTGACTTACCAATATCAGATCCTACTTGTGTATATATATCATTGATCATGATAGAAAATAAAAGAGGACTGATGACACTCCCCTGCGGGGTTCCATTTTCAACTTCATGCCTTCGAGAATATGACTTGCCAAAACGGACTCTGATGGCACGGCCAAACAAAAAATCCATAATTCAATTATATACATTACCTCCCAGACCCATAATGTCCAGTTTTATTAATAATCCTTCCTTCCACATCATATCGTAAGCTTTTTCCACATCAAAGAATACAGCTACAACACACTCCTTATTCGCTTGGGCTTTCCTGACTTCAGACTCCAGGCACAGCAGTGGATCTAAAGTACTCCGCCCTCTTCTAAACCCACTCTGATAAGGAGTCATTAGTTCATTTTTCTCAATGTAGTATGTCAGCCTTTCTGTTATCATTCTTTCCATAACTTTACACAAGTGTGGTGTCAGAGCTATAGGTCTATAACTGCCTGGACTGGTTGGATCTTTCCCAGGTTTCCTAATAGGAATAATGACTGACTCTTTCCATATTATTGGCAGCTTCCCTTTCTCCCAGATCTTATTGTACATCTCCAGCAGCTTTCCTAATGCAAAATCACTTAATTTGGTCAACATTATATAACATACATTATCTTTCCCAGGAGCAGTCATTTTCCACTTACTTAATGCTCTTCTCAACTCTTGAATAGAAAAAGGTATATTTACAACACTCTGCGACGAATGTCTTTCTTCATATACAATAGGATGTTCATCTAACACTTCCTGCCTCCTGATCTTACCTTCTTCTGTCAAATTTTCCGAAGAATGAACATTGACCATTTTTAGCTAGAATTTCTGCCTTCTCCAAAGCACCAGTGGCAACTTCCCCTCCATTCTCTAACACTGGCAGGTTACTCTGCTGTCTTATTCCCCTCATCTTCTTAATCATTCCCCATACTTTATCTAATGGCGTAGTTCTCCCAATACTTGAACAGAATCCTCTCCAACACTCCCTTTTTGCTCTTTTAACAATGTTCCTTACCTGAGCCTTGCCTTTTTATATTCTAATAAATTATGTAATGAATGTGTCTTTCTTAGCTTTCCAAACAGCCTGATTTTGTTTCGGATTGCATCATTACAGTCTTTGTTCCACCACGGTACCATCTTAACACATTTACTAAGTTTACCAGTTTTATTCCCAATAGTTTGATTAGCGCTTTTAATTATATTTGTAGTAAATTGCTCATTTATTTCATCAATACTTCCTGCCATATCAATCTGATCAAATTCATTATCGCAGAATTTAAAAAAACATCTCCCAATTTGCTTTAAAAAAAGTCCATCTCATGATACCGTCTAGCTCACCTGATTTTGTTTCGGATTGCATCATTACATTCTTTGTTCCACCACGGTACCATCTTAACACATTTACCAGTTTTATTCCCAATAGTTTGATTAGCGCTTTTAATTATATTTGAAGTAAATTGCTCATTTATTTCATCAATACTTNCTGTCCCATAGTTTTTGCCATTGTTGCTTGATAACCACTTTTGTAAAAGATTTGACTTCTGCTCTACTGATGGGTACCATAATATCAATCTGGTTTGAAGCAAACCAGATTGATATTATGGTACCCATCAGTAGAGCAGAAGTCAAATCTTTTACAAAAGTGGTTATCAAGCAACAATGGCAAAAACTATGGGACAGTAACACCAAAGGAAGACATTTATATCAGATACAAAGGGAAGTAGGAACAGGAAGCACTTGGGGGAGTAGTAGTAGAGAGAAGCAGAGCATTAACAGCAGGATAAAATTGGGACACTCTGGACTAAACTCATCATTGCATCTGATTGGAAAACATCCAAATGGCAATTGTGATTGTTGCCAACAACCAGAGACAATACATCATGTATTTTTTAGCTGCCCGGATTATAACAGACAAAGATTCATTCTGAAAACTGCACTGGAACAACTCAACATCAAGGACATGGATTTCAAGGCAATATATGAAAGTAAATCAAGAAATGAAGCAAACAAGCTGATCTTCAAATTCCTCAAAAGCACTGGTCTGAGGACAAGGATTTAATATGAACATTTAATAACTCAACAGTAGGTGGCGATATATGCTCCAAGTGGAAGCGATTCGCCATTAAAGAAAAGAAGAAGAAGAAGCAGCAGTGCAGCATGTCTCTGTGTGAGGCCTGTGTTTTTGTGAATTGTTAGGCTATGTGCTCCAGTTTACTTTTTTGTGTATTGTTTAATTTAGTTACTTTCTTTTAGAGGAAAGTTGTTCTTAGTTACTTTAAGTTTGTTTTGCAAATTGGCTGGTGGGCCTCTTTTCTTTATTAATTAAAGCATCACTTTGTGGCTTCAGCTGTCAGTTTCCTCTCCTTCTTCTCTCGCCCGGTTGTTTTTGTGTTTTGTTACTTCCCTTTGTACCCCTAGTTTAGGAGGGAACGTAACAAATGGGGGCTCGTCCGAGATCTTTGAGACAAGGAGTGAGTATTTGATTGTTTGTTGTATAGTGTTATTGTGTTTGGTGAATAGTAGTGTGTATAAGTGTACCATTGGTTGTGAAGTCTCTTACTGTTTAACAGCTTCCTCAGTTTAGATAGGGGAGTGTCTAGCTGGGCTAATCAGTCCTTCCTTCAGGCACTCATTTATTATTTTGCCTTTCTCTATTTTCGGGGTAATCCTGGGTGGGGATTTAGTCCCTGTTGGGGGCAGGCGTTTCAGGGTTTCGGCCGCTGATGTTTGCCCTTTTTAAAAGTCGCCTCGAGCCCGGCACGCTTCAGAAGATAGTTAGGTAAGTTGTGGTAGGCAGGATCTGGGGAAGTTTGTTATTTGAAAGACTAGGGTCAATGTTTGTGTAGCATCAAATATATTTGAAAATAAGTCTGTTTTAGTATGGCTTCCCTTGTGTGGAGTGAGTCCTCTCGTACTGGTTCTAAATGAGATGCCAGGTTGAAAGTGAGGTTTCTTTTTTTATTAATTAAAGCATCACTTTGTGCTTCAGCAGTCAGTTTCCCCTCCTTTTTCTTTCGCCCGGTTGTTTTTGTTACTTCCCTTTGTAACCCTAGTTTAGGAGGGAACGTAACAATGGCACACAATCTGAACATTTGCTTCTTTGTTTTAAATGTATACTGAATCAAAACTGCACTTCATGTGCTCAAATACCAGAAAAACCTTTTTACTGCGGACGTTCACAGTATGAAAAGCACAGGTGTAAATCATGATGGTAAGCTAATGTTATTAGTTACACCTGTGCATACCCTCTACTCTCTAAAAAAAGCTGTTGTGCTTAAGCTACAGCCCGGCTCAACAGAGACCCCTTTAATTCTGTTCATTACATGTGGACACCAACCTGTTAAAATAAAAGTCAGCCATCAGTGTAAAAAACAAAACAGGTACACTTTTAATTATGCAAGCTCACAGTTACAGGCTATGTTTGTGTGATTAGGGGAAAGTGCCACATTGATGGTTGGTGACATGTGGTGATGGATGCATTTTCAAAACTAAATGTTTAACCCCAGAAAACTCCTGTTTACTGTATGCCAGAGACAGAATGTCCTTTGACCAAAAAATCCCTCTGTTGTCCAAGAGGTACCTGCCTTTGGTTTCAGTGCATGAAACATACAAAGAACTGACAAACATCCTGAAAATAAATGACAGCAAAAAACCAAACATTATTTTAAAGACTTCTTTCCTGGTATGAAATCAAATCAGAAATGTACAACAAAACTGGGAGACTCAGACCAAGGAAACTTATCAGTTGAAGATTTATCCGTTTCTTTGAAAATAAAGCCTTTGTTTTGAATTGTATTCATGCAGTTTGCCGATTCAGACACCGGACTCTTTATCTATGCATGTTACTTCTAGATCACTGTGACACACAACTACGCTTTCAACCTTTCCCAAAATATTAATAATAATAACGTACGCGCGCACACACAATCATACTTTCCAAACCAACTTCACCACTCAAGACGTCTAAGCCAGTTGGGGCTTAAGAGCAAAGTCAAGGAGCAGAACCGCATGTGATGTGGAAATCATAAAGTTTAACAAAAAAAGAAAAAGATTTGTGAAGCAAATTGGGGGGTAAGCTGGGATGATAGCATGAAGGTAACATGTATAGGTTTGGTTCCCTATGATGTCCCCATCCATCAACTGAAATTATATTACATATCCTCCACCCCGCTACTTCTCCACTGCTGTTAATCCACACACACCCACTTCCATCCTCCCCTCCATTGCTCGCTTCCTCTCAATGACATCACTGCACCGCCTGTTCGTTGGCCGTGCTACCGGAGTCCTGGGGCTTCATCACATCGGGGAGTTCTGGGGGACTGGAGAAGGCCTCGACGTGCAGCTGCTCGAACATCTCATCTGAGAGGCGGAGAAGACGAGGAAACATTAGCCCCATCGTGACAGAAGAGTAGCATGTGGCACTCACTCATGTCGCAAAGTTGCTGCGGTGAACATTTACTGCGGCGCGGTTTTTGGCAGAATATTTCAAAGAACTACCCTTGTTACATGCACTCGTAAAAGGATTGAAATCCTAATCTAAACAGTTTTGTCACTAATTTAGACAGAGTATATCGTAAATGTTTAATTACAAAATGCTTCCTGGGTGGCTCTAAACTGTTTTTGATCTTCACAGTTGGCTAGAAATATGAGATCCTGGATACTTAAACCAACTACAAATGAATTAAACATACCATTTATGCGGAAGGCCAGACCAACTGTAGCTGGGGCTTGAGGTCTGGCAGTCTGGTTGGTGAATCCACAGTCACCAAGAGTTTTACTGTCCTCTAGCGACTGATCATCCTGTGGAGAAAAAGTTGAATAATCAGCAGTGGCATAAAATGAATGAATTTGCTTTACTAAATATAAATAGAGTGTGTGAGACATGTCCAAATAATTACAAGTCGCACTTGGAAAAGACAAGCTACATGCAACCACCGGTACCCACACAGAATTGAGATGCAGTCAATAATGAAAGGAAACTTGATTCGGTGTCATTGTTATACTAAGCCCTAAACTCACTTTGTACAGCCTCTGGTCCTCTGGTGGTCTCTTAAGAATTCCTTCAACAATACGCTTCAGCTCATACACAGTGGTGGACTCCTTGGCATCGGTGAAGATTGTGGTCTTTTGACGCCGGATCATTAAGAACACGTCCTGAGGGAAGGTGGGCAGAGAATTTTACATTAAAAACTAAGCTAAAGGCAACTTGGCTTCTAGATGTATCTCTAAGAGTAAGATGAGGGCTTGAAGTGAGTTGTTCTATACCTCAATACTCTATTTAACATGGGACCAAACAGGACAGCTGTTTATGTGAATCAAACGCTTTGCTTGACAAAACATCTCAGTAGGCCAAGTCAATGTCCAACTGGCCACTGTTTAAAACACCTTATTAACATGTATGTAACGTTAGAGTAAACTTGTGTTGACTTGAGGCTAAACCAATTAAGGAACAACAATGCATATATTGGTCACACTATTTCATATTTAGTATGTCCAGCAGAGGTGGGAGGAGTACTCAGATCTTGTAATTAGTTAAAAGTAGAAGTACCAGAGTGTAGTAATACTGTTACAAGTCCTGCATTCAAAATGTTACTTAAGTAAAAGTCCAAACGTATTGGCATCAAAATATACCTAACGAACCAAAAGTAAAAGTACTCAATATGCTAATTGGCCCATTTCAGAATAATATATTATAAGTTTTGATTAACGTTATTGATTCATTAATGTGTTTAACAAAGATGGTAAAGGTGCAGCTAGTTTATAAACGTTGTATGATGCAGGGTAGTTTGTGAATTTTAATCCAGGTGTTTCTAGTCTTATTTAGGGGTTGTTTACATTGCACATTATTAATCCAAGTCTGCAAAGTAACTAAATATAATAAATAAATAAATGTAGTGAACTAAAAGTACCCCATTTACCTCTGAATTGTAGTGGGGTAGAAGTACAAAGTAGCAACACAAATGGAAATAGTCAAGTAAAGTACAATCTGTGAAAATGTTACTGAAGAACAATACCTGAGTAAATGTACTAAGGTATTTACACTACTGGTGTATGTATGTTTTTTCTGGATGCAGAGAAATTGACACGACAACATTGATTTATAAACTACCAAGAATTACCAACCAGTGCAAGTTATTAAACGCTAAGCTAACGCCGAAATAGCCACAAGAAACAGTCTTGAGATGTTGGGGAGTCAAAATTAAGCCTGACAGTTAAATACATAGACACTAAAGGTCTGACAATGACGGCTTATGTTCAGCTAACTGGGTTAGTTGGCTTATATTACATATCTTCCAAGGTTAGCCAAGCTAAATTACACCTAAAGCTAACGTTAGATGAGAAGGCAAAGCTAACATAGCTTAGCATTAGCAGGCTAGCAGACACAAACGGATATACACATTTCTATACCCGTCGGTTTCTTCTTTTAATACATGGCTAATATTTTTAAACAAAGTGCTAAATGTCCACTCAGTGTTTGTATCTAGACACCAAATCTCACAAAAGGTCGATAATATTAGGAAAAGTTACCATTTCAAGTGGTCAGCTAGCTAGCCAGTTGCGCCAGCCCTGTGTTGTGCAGCAGAACCCAGACTGCACCGCTCGCGGATATTGCGTAATTCAGATGAGCGTTCCGCATTCACGTAAGATAGGTACGCAACACTACGTAAACATTTCAGAATTTGGCGCGACGTATTGACATGTTTTGAACGGTGTGCAAGCGAGCAGTTTGATTTGGACACAGCTACTTTCTGAGGCTCTGTTTTGAAGACGGTCTGTCTTTATAACTGGAATATGGTATGTGTGATAAAGTTACTTAAATCCTATTGTAAGGCTAAACTGTCACCTACAGTGTGTTATTTGCTTATACGTTAGCTAGCTAGCTGGTTTATGTTATTATGTTGTTGACTGGGTCCGCCCTTAATGTTAGCCAACATGCTGTCGAAGTGACATTTGTCAGTAATGGCAGAGAGTAATTTATGTTAACGTTAGCTAAGGCTTTTAATGTAAAGTAGTTGAAATAAATATTAATTAAACTGTGTGATATCAAATGTGCAGTGTTTGTGTGTGTCTATGGGTATATCTAACGTTACACTACATTCAGTTGTGGAAAGTAACTGAGTACATTTACTAAAGTATTGTAATTTTCTGACATATTTGTACTTTACTTGAGTATTTCGATGTCATGCTACTTTATACTTCTACTGTTCTACATTTCAGAGGCAAACATTGTACTTTTTTCTTCATTACTTTTATCTGAACACTCAAATTATTTCTTTACATATACAAACACACGATATGCTGGTATGGTATAATGCAATACTGTGCTTTATCTACACTGTTTCTATATTTGGTCCACAATGACCAACCATAATACTTAAAGGCGCTTATATGTATAAAAACAGGATAAAATAATACACCTAATAATATAATATCTATTCTGCATAACGAGTATTCTTACTTTTGATACTTGAATCTCATTTCGCCTATAATATTGCTGTACCTTTTAAATAACTTTTTTACTTTTAATTAAGTAAAGGATCTGAGTACTGAGTAAGTGAGAGACTTTTTTGTACCTTTTAACGCAGATAGCTACCTATTCTATCAGGCTGTATTGATACTGGTATCAGACACTTCTCCAAAACCTGTAAAGCAGGATGTTCAGGATGTCGGATCTCTGTCATGGAAACAAATGAGTGTACCCCAACCAGTTGGACACAAAAAAAAAACCTACTAATTTCTGGTTATTGCTTGAGATTTCATAGCATTCAGATACATTTTAATATGGTAGGTTTTGCTTTGCCTCTGTTGCAAGTTAGCATGACGGATAACTTCTCCCTAACTTTAGCACATTGAAATGGCATGAGCAGTGCAAAAGTGCCATTAGTACACTCATGAACTGTCAAAAAGTCTGTCATTGTTTAATGGTTTTCTTTTCAATGTTGCAGCTCACTATTTCCCAAGAAAGGAGCTGAAGAAGTCCCAACACAATGTCCGTGGCTGTGGAAACCTCAGTGTCCAGGATGTCTCTCCCTGTCCCCACCCACTTCTCCCATGCAGAGCAAACCTTCTCCCTCAAAAAACGCCATCTCCCTTTTTCCTCCATGTCCAATTCCAACTCATCCTACTGTTCCCTTTCCAATCTCTCACACACTCTGCCCCCGCTGCCGCCGTCCAAGGGATGTCCCCCCCTGAGCAGGATGTTCCCCCAGCAGCCCACCCCCTGGACCCCTCTGTCAGGTTCCCTCAGCAAGACTCCCCCTCCGAATGCTGTTTATGATCCCAGCAAACAGCAGTCCTATTTCGATCAATGCTACACTAATTTGGGCCTGCTGGGACGAGGATCTTTCGGAGAGGTCTACAAGGTGAGTAAGATTTGTGTGTATATGTTTATAACATTGGGAAATGCTTATACTGAATGATGTTTCATAACTCTTTGAAAAACGGAAAGACTGCATTTTAAGGAATCATTTTGTGAGGAAGTTGCCATTAGATACTCAAGTTTAAGACAGAGTAGACAATAGAGGCATCTAAGGTGAGGAATGAACAGTCTAATATGAAGGTCACAATCTTGCCCGTTTCAACATCTGTGCTGTGTTTTTTTTTCTCACAGCAAATTAGGGCTGCTCGATTATGGCAAAAATCATAATCCCGATTAATTGGGTCAATAATTGTAATTGCGATTATTAAATGCGATTATTCATTGACTTTGAATACATCCATTTATTGGAGAAAAAAAAATTGAAGGGTATGTTTAACAGTTGATTACCCTGAACTTTAAGAATAATTCAACTGAAAAATCAAAAAAAAAAAAAATTATAAAAAAAAAAAAGTAATAATAAAAAAATAATCGTTTTATTTCGATTACGTTGTTTTCGTAATCGTTGCAAGCCATAATCGTAATTGCGATTAAAATACGATTAATTGAGCAGCCCTACAGCAAATACACAATAATATATAATAATATTAATAATGATAATATCCCTGTAACCCTTACATTCTCACCATGATTATCATTTGGAGATTCCCAGAAGAGAAGTCAAGTCCTCAGCATTTCCTCTATTTTTCTAGGTGAAAAGCAACTTGGACGGTCGCCAGTATGCAGTCAAGCGCTCTGCTCACCGCTTCAGGGGCAACAGTGAGAGGAGCCGGAGCACGAGGGAAGCCAAGAACCACGAGCGCCTCTGTCCTCACCCTCACATCCTCGATTTTGTGGCAGCGTGGGAAGAATGTGGCCGACTGTACATCCAGACCGAGCTCTGCAGCACCAGCCTGCTGCTCCATGCGGAGAACCAGCCTCCTGGACCAGGTCTGAAAGTGAAAATACGACCTATTCAAATGTCCTAATATCTATATTTTGCCCTTTTGTATTTCCTTTTTCAGAAAATTCTCAAATCCACAGATAAATTGACGGTTGTCCTAACATTTCTAATATCCAGATGAGCCTGCAGCATGGGCCTACCTGTGCGACCTCCTCTCAGCTCTGCAGCACTTGCACTCTCTTGGTTTTGTGCACCTGGACCTCAAGCCCGCCAATGTCCTCATCACTGACTCGGGCCGCCTTAAGCTGGCGGACTTCGGGCTGCTGTTTGAGCTCAAAAAGAAGAGCACAGGGTCTTTAGAGGGGAAAGGGAAAGATGACATCCAGGAGGGGGATCCCAGATACATGGCCCCTGAGCTGCTGCGGGGGGAGTATGAGCCAGCTGCAGATGTTTTCAGGTACAAAAGACATACATAAATAAAATAATATACTTAAATGTGTAAAAAGATTATTTGATTGAACTTAATATTGTTGAATCCTTCTCATTTAGTTTGGGTGTTTCTATTCTGGAACTGGCCTGTAATATGGAAGTTCCTAATGGAGGAGAGGGCTGGCAACAGCTCAGGCAAGGCTGCCTCCCCTCAGAGTTCACCAGTGGTAAGATCCACTCTGTGTTAGGTCTTTATAAACAATTGCATTATCTTTATTTCAATTCTTACTATTTCCATCTGTATCTGCAGATCTGTCAGCTGAGCTTCAGGCAGTGCTGCGGATGATGTTGGCCCCGGAGCCCTCTGAGAGGCCGACAGTCTCTGAGCTCCTGTCTCTCCCCTCTGTGAGGAAACACAGGTGGAGGAGGCGGATCTATCTCGTGGTGGCAGAGACCACGCTGACACTGCTCTCCTTCTGTCAGGTAATGTGTCCATGCTAAACACAGCGGCGATAAAGCTATATGGATTATTAATCCGTTTTGGGGCCTCATTTCAGTCCCAAAGGCATCTACAGTTTGTTTTTATTTATTACATATTGCAAACATGAAATAACAGTTTTCTTAAATTGTGTTTTTCTGGTCTTTTTCTCATAGTTGGCGGTGTGCTTTGGGTGCAGACTGCTGTCCTCACTTCACTTGTCTTTTCTGCCTCACTGGTCAAAGCCGGTTCCCAGCACTCCTCCTAAGGGGAGTTGGGACAAAGATCTGACACTGCCGCTCAGTGCCATGCATGCTGACTCCGGGAGTCCAGAGGACGATGCAGTGTTCCTGTTGGATCAAACCGACGTGGAGCTCTCCCCCACCTTCTCACACAGGTAGACAATCAAAGCCTGGTTTTTGTGTATGTCTTAGAAATGCACCGATCAATCTCCCATTTTTCAATCTCATACATCCATGTTGCACACATATGTTTCATGATGGGTTTATGAAGCACATAGCAACACAGACAGTGATGTTAAGTCACAGAAACACATATATTTTTATGTTGTCAGTGTCAAGTTTTAACAGCTGAATTGTAATTTTAGAAGAAATGTATATGCTTGTCTATTATACTTCATAATACTTTATAAAGAAAGCTGGGAAATGCAAAAATCTGACTCAACAGGTCAGACATTTGAAAAGCCTAGAAGACTGCAATCAGTACATCTCTTTTAAAAATATCCAAAAACCAGCAATGTAAAACAAAAAAACTGTGGTTACTATCCCTCAGTCTGTCTTGACCTGAGTTTGTAATTCCTGTCCTAGCTTCATTTGTATTATTTTCCCCACTCCACAGGGTAACATCTAGACTGTCTTTGGACAGCACATCCACTCCTCTGCCAAGATCCCCAAGACACAGTCATCGAAGTCCTGCCCACACCCCCACTCACTCGAACCTGGGGGATTGGTCCTCCTGTAACCTGGCGCAGACCCCCTTCAGCATCCACTCCAATGGTTCCTGCCACACACTGCCACCCAGTATTAACCCTTTACGCATAGAGCTTTTTGCAGATAGCATTAATGAAAAGTCGACACAGAGCCCACACTCTGTAGCCAACAAGTCCTCGCAGCGACGCAGCTGGATCCGCACAGAGGAGGCTTTACCCCGACCCAACTTTGAACCAAAGAACCTGCTCAGTCTGTTTGAGGACACAACTGTAGAGCCATGATCAAAACACTGCCAGTTTACTTTTAGGGGTAAAGATGTTTTCACTTTAAAATGTTATGTCAAAGGGAAGTTGTGTTTGAATGTGCTTTACTCTGAACTGCCATTACACCTAAGTCTTACAACAGCTTCTTTTAACGTGTACTTGAAAAAAGAAATATTTAGGGAAAAGGGTTGCATTTATAATCAGACCTTCAAAGCACTTTTTATGTTTGTGTAAAGGATAATCTGTTGCTGGAATGACAAGTCAGGAAGTATTGTGAATATAAGTTATCATTAGCTTGATGTACTCTGAGTCATTTACCTCATGAGTCATAGAACATAATAAAAAAAAAGAGGCGAAACTTAATTTAAACTTCTGTGTGCCGTGTGTTTGTTTTTAGATAGCTCAACACGTTTTTCCCTCAGTAAAAGTAGACAGTGATGGGATATAAATAAGAAAAAAGCAGATAGATGAATGAATGTACCGCAGATGCACTCTGGATGTTTGCGTACTCCCAGTAGATGGCAGTATCGCACTTTCCGCTGGATGCGAGTTCCCTTAAAAACCGAGGAAGGGAATGCACTGCATGTTTGCCCTTTGTACGTTCTTATTATACATCCATGCTTTGTACACGATACACTCATCTATGGACATATTTATTTTTACCAATTTTTTTTTAGATTTACTACACTCTCCGACCCTTTTATATTGTGGAAAAGCTACATCGATACTGCCAAATGAACTTCCGGTAAGCCGTTTCCTGAAAGGAATTTCCGCCGAAGTCTGAATGTAAACAATGAGCGATCTCCTCTGGATTACTACTAGATAACCTGGGAATCACGAAATACTGCAACGATATTAAACCCGATTACATTAGGTTAAAGGTATGCTGCTTTTTCTTTTATTAATACATGGTTAACATTATACGTTATAGGATCACGTGACGCATTCACTGATCTGTTCCTTCTTTTCGGTCCCAAGGATCAGCCAATAAAGATGTCCGACATTGACTGTCTGAATGCCCGAGTGGAGAAGCTGCTGTGTGAAGCGGTGCAGGAGGTTCTGGAGGTGGTGAAGGAGACGGTGTCAGAGTACCAGGAGAAAACTGCCAGAACACAGAGAGAGAACCAGAGTCTGAAGAGAAAGCTGCAGGAGCTCCAGGAGAAGATATACCTGGAAAGCAATGGTATATTCAATATCAGGGTTAAGGAATATTGAACTTGTTTGATACAATTGTTGACTGATTTTGTCTTTTTTGTGCTTTGTCAACTTTGATTTATGCAGGAACAATGGCACAACTTTCCCATAGGTCTCTGATCGAGCAGAGACAGAAAGAAAAGTTGGCAGAGGACTTTGAACTCATCACATCTGATAAGGACATTGCTTTAATCTCTCCTTCGTATTCCTTTGAAGACCTTGACAGTGAAGCATCGTTAGCTGCTCCATGTCTCTCCCATGGAGCCAACACACACACACATTTAGGTGGTGACGACCTGAACAATTTAAGAGCTCTTCTAACAGAAACTAATAATAGACTGGCATTTTCAAACCATGTAGATCTTAGTGAAAACCTACACAAAATGAAAAGAGAGCCTACATCGGATGAAGACAGCATACACACCACAAATTGCTTTTATGATGATGCAGGTACAAGCACTGCATCCTCACACAGACTAAATTCGGAACATCCTCAAGGCCATTCAGTCTCCAGTTTGGAGCAAAATGGCACATCAGAGCCACCATCCCAAAGAGACGACAATACAAACAGTGTTAGTGCAAAAAAACAACAAACCAATCACACAATAGCAGTCGCTTCAGGCTCAAGAGTGTTCCAGAGAAATGACAGAAAACATTACTCCTGCTTGCTCTGCGGTCGCACGTTCAGACACGCGGGTGACTACAAGAAACACAACAGGGTGCACACGGGGGAGAAGCCGTACTGCTGCTCGGTGTGCGGGAAACGCTTCAGTCAGTCCGGCTACCTGACCGTGCATCAGCGCTTCCACACAGGAGAGAAGCCGTTCGCCTGCACTCAATGTGACAAAAGCTTTAGTCACTCTAGTAACCTGAAGAAACACCAGCAAACTCATCTGTGAGGCTGCTATTGCCAGACTTTCTTCAAACATAGGTTTTTATCATTTAGAGCTGGACAATAAAAAGGCTGTTAGGTATAGAAAATGCACATGCTTGATTCCCAAAGTGTGAAGGTATGGTCTGTGGTGATATAATAAGCATATTTCAATCTGACTGTCTTTAGAAAGTGTTTCTGCAGAAAGAGTGTTAAATAGAAATATGTTTGTGCCTCCTTTACAAAGACATGTATCTTATTGTTGTACAATAGGGCCTATGTCAACTTTGAAGTATCAAACACACTTTCTTATTTCCTACAATTCCTGCCATGCTGCTGTTTGTCTCATTTCCAAATCAAATGAAAGTATGGTTCTTCTTGGTGAAGTGTTGTGTATTGCCAACAAAATTACTTTATAATGATCCAAAAAATCTGAATCCCTCAAGTAAAACCAAACATTGTTAACCTAAAAACTAGATTTAGCATGCTAGCAAGCTACTGATGTTTATTGTTTACAGTCATACTACTGTAATGTAATGTACAGTTTAGTTTGCTCTACTTCAACATGTTGTTCTCAGGTTTTGTTGTGACTGATAGGAGTGCTTTTTTTTAAACGTGTATACGTGTTTTATTGGATGAATGATCGATGTAACAGGACAATAAAGATTTTTATCTGAGTTGATTGAATACTTCAATATAATGTGAAATGCTCGAGGCCAGATTTCAAGTTAACAAGATTTATTAGTGGTGTGCAAATAATAAATGTATAGAACTCGGTAATTTATTTTGAAAATCACCTCACAGCGGATGTAATTGATCGCTTCCGGAAGTATCGAGTTATCGCATTGTTATGTTTCTTTCAGATTGGTGCCTTCTAGTATTGTTTACAATGTTCGTTTAATTTTTATTACAAGTGAACTTTCCTGGAAATAACCTACACGTCTTGCTAACACAGTGACCACATGACGTGTTTTTTGGAAGGGAAAACGATAGAGGAAACGTACGGAGCTAATGTAGCTAACGTTAGCTACCTGACAACGACTAGCCTCAGGTACAGCTTCCTAAACATAAGCTTAACTAGGGAACAGAAAGTGGCTTAAATGTTTATTAACACTTGTTGGAATATCTCTGCATTGATTTACATTTAAAATAAACTTCAAACTCTTAACTACTGTTGAACTAAACAGTACTGAGTGTAACTTGGCAAACATTTCACTGTGATTAATATGTTTCAGCACCAGCCTACAAATAAACTGCACAAATGTACCACTAAACTATCTATAATTCAGCAACATAGCCATTCATGTAAATGGTTTGAAACCTTACAAAAATAGGCCAAAATAGTACAAACGAAGATAAAAGTTTGTTATCAAGAGTAACATGTATTAGCTGTAAACAGCATTTTCATAACATATCATAGATGTATGATTATTCATTTTAAATGATTTGAATCAACAAAAATATATTGGTATATTTAGAAATATGTTATGTTTCTCTGGTTTAATACACCAATACAGTTGACAAGTATATCATTTGGAGCTGTAGGAAGGAGAGTTTTTACACAGCAGGGCTTGTGAAACAGCTCTTATACATTATTTAGCTAAATGAGTTGTGAACACAAGGGCTCCTTTTGCAAGGGATTATGCATTAGCAGTCCTTTCTTACCTTGAGTCTTTTCTAGTTTCAGGATGTCTAAGCTTGAACGTCTAAACGCTCGTGTGGCTAAGCTCCTGACTGAAGCGGTGCAGGAGGTTCTGGAGGTGGTGAAGGAGACGGTGTCAGAGTACCAGGAGAAAACTGCCAGAACACAGAGAGAGAACGAGAGCCTGAAGAGGAAGCTGCAGGAGCTCCAGGAGACCATAACAAAAGAGAGAATAGGTTGGATTTCCTTGAATTTTGATAGACGCATTAATATTTCACTGGTTTGATTGTAAAGTAATTGATGAGTTACTTATATAAATAATAAGAGTGTTTTCTTTTGTGCTGATTTCCTAGATGTCTTACCTACAAGTTTGCCGTTGCCTGAAGAAAAAGAAGACGCTCAAAATCAAAAGCAGGATTTGGGGCTTTCTTTGAGGCAGGACTCAGACCCACCTCTCGCAGAGCAAAAACAGATAATCGTCCACACAAATGAACAAAATGTGAAGCAGGAATCGCAACAACAGGAGAGCTACGACAACACTGAATTACAAACTGAATCCAACTCAACGCAAACAACAGAACATTGCCTAGTACAACCAGAGGAGGTGGCACACATGATTGAGGAAGCAGTGACTGTTCAGACATTACACAATGAAAACGGAGACCTCAGTGCAGTCACACCCTATAACGTGTGCACCCCTCACTCCAGCACTTCACTCGAGGCAAACCTGGCAGTTATCAAAAGAGAGTTAGAACTAACAGAGTGCACAACAACAGAACCACCATCTCTTCAAGAACAACATAGCGGTGTGGATTTAAGCTGCAACTCTTCTCGCCAGAACTCTGCTGAAACGCACCGGCCACAAGCTAGTGCTGAAACTAAAGGACACGTCTTTGTCCACTCAAATCATGCCATACAAAGGAGGCATGGCTTCGCAAAACCCAACAGGGGTGCGTTCGATGGGAGAAAAAGCCGGATGGAGCACTTCAGGGGAGAAGAATCCCACCTGTGTGTTGTGTGTGGAAAGACATTCAGCAGGGTGGGGAACTTGAGAATCCACCAGCGGTGTCATACGGGAGAGAAGCCGTATGGGTGCGTTCAGTGTGGGAGACGTTTCAGTCAGGCGGGAGACCTGAAAAAACACAAGAGGGTCCACACGGGGGAGAAACCGTACTACTGCAGCCAGTGTGGGAAGAGCTTCAGCCGGGGGGAGAATCTGAAAAGACATCAGAAGATCCACATTGGAGAGATACTACAGTTACAGCAAGTGTGGAAGGAGCAACAGCAATGATTTGTATATAAGACTTCAATGAGCACGCTTACCATGTAGAACTCATTAAGAAGCCACTTTTAATTATTTTTGCTATCATGATGATGATTCTACAGCTTTACAGATAGAGATGCACTGATATAATTATTAATAATGCAATCGAGACAGCTTGGACCTAAAGCAAGTACTAAATGTAAGCAACACTAAATATAGAAAATTGTATATATTATGACACTTTTGGCATTATGATCATACTTTGTACACAGGGCAATTATACCAATATGACAATTATTGTACACGTGGCAATAATGAGAAGAACAAAACCAATGTGGCAATGTGTTGTTAAGTGTCACACCTCTTTTACTTGTGCACAGAAGGAGTTGTCTCATGTCAAATTAATGCTAAAGACAATTGTCGTTGTTTTTATTCAAATTTGTTGTCATTTAATTTGCCTGGTTTTATAGAATGATGGATGCTTGTTGTATGCTGGATTATATTTATTGCAAATGCATCTGGGTATGTAGTGAAAAATCCAGCAAAAGGGAGAATGCACAGCAAAATAATAAATGTATTTATTATCACCAAGAAGGCTCAGTGATTGATCCACACGGCTTGTTCAGTCGAAAGTGTGTTGAAGTGGTATAGGTACAGGTGTATTCATACAAATAATAACACAAACATCAGCTTGCACCCCCCTCTTGATGTATGTCATAAACCTTGAGTAATAGTATAAGGCTAGAATGTGTGAGAAATTATAAGATGCATCTACTTTTTTCACAGAGCAAGCAATACACACCATTGACTCAAAAACTGCATTTCAACATCACATGGTAGCATCTGAGAAACCACAGGTCCTTAAATAAATTATATTTGAAAGTATAGTATGTATAGTACTTTAAATGTGTGCATCAACAGTCAAATAAAAAAAAAGACCAAACATAGAAGCACAATGCTGAGTTTTGTTGATTTCTTTTATCATGTATGGATATTTACATTGTATTTATTTACCATTTATCCTACACTTGCTTTTAGAAAATGTATTCAAATTTTTAACAAATGTCAATTTTTCTTTGATTTTCAAAAATATGCCGAATGAGCCGCAACATAATAATACAGGACCTGCTTTGGTACATTTCTGTACTAATTAAAAAGTGTAAATAAACCAATCCAGTTGATACAGGTACTAAGAGGCACTTATAGGGGCCACAGAGGTCTGCCTCCACACTTTCTGACCGGTGATGCAGACTTACCTTTATAAATGGTAGTTAAAGTAACTAATACACTTTATTCTCTAATGAAAATCACCATGGCAACAATATCTATGGGCATGGTAATTTGCCTATTGATGAACCAAGTGCTTAGATTTGAAAGTTATAGCCTCCAAATCATATAGGCTACTAATTTTGTTGATTTTTACGTGAAATAAGTGAGCGTATTGTTGACTAGCCTCTTGAACAGGCAGTGCTCTGCTGTTGACGTGGAGCTGCCTCACCTCACCTACCAGGAAGTGATTGATTTGACACACAGCCAGGAGGAAACTGAAGCAGCCAGAGTTGCACACTTTGGAGAAAGGTGAGTAAACAAAACCCATGTGGAAGTGAAAATCAATGTGGTACCGCACTTTCTCTCAAGTTAAAGCTAACCAAAATGACGAAATGATACCGGAATTCATGAGTCAGTTGTTAGTGTTATCGTGTAAAAGACGCTACCGCCTTAAAAACAGTTTGCGAGTTATTAATGGCGGTCCCTTTGGCATGTGTCCAAATGAATACACTATATATTTAACGTTTTATTGCCTGTTTTTCAAAAGTATAACATTATTGCATTACACGGAGAATGAGTTAATTTTTCCCCACCGGCGGAAGCTTACTGTTTTACATAAAGCTGGTTAATATTAGTTCTCTATTTACAGAAACATATAAATGAGGAAGTAGGCTTATTGCAGTTTTGTCCTTTTTCAGGTTCAGGTCAAAGCGGCCTGTGATGTTGAAATGAAGTTTGATGAAAAAGTGATCAGCTATTTTGAATCTTGCACCTCACCAGTGGACAAAGAAGGGTATCTCTCCAAGAAGGTATGACACTTTAGTATTTTAACAAATACCCACTTTTTTGTGTGCCTTTTTTAAATCATTAACTAAAGTTCAATAAGGTTTAAAAAAAACAAAACCCATCAATAAACACTTTGAAACATTAGCTTCGTAACTTTATTTGTAGGCACCTTTCTGGTAAAATGCTTTACACAGGGGACAACATACATTGCTAAACTTTAAAAATGTTAAAAAAAGAACAATGAAATCACATAAAGCACTTGAATTTATTTTTGAATGCTTTTAATCAATACAGCTTTCAAAACAATGCCATATTTCTCATTTCTAGGCACATGTAAACAAGATAAATCTACTTGACTTTTTGGGGGGGATTTCATAAAACAATCTGTAACTTTTAACTTCCCTGTTGGCTTCTTATTTCCTAACACTGTTATGTAAGAAATTGAGTAAGTCAGCTATTTGTAAACGAGTCAGAAAGCTGCAGATGTCACAATTGTCTCACAGGGCGAAATAAAGACTTCCTATCACAAGCGCTGGTGTGTGCTGAAGGGGAACCTCCTCTTCTACAAGGACCGGCCTGCGGACCGGGACCTGACAGGCGTGATTGTTCTGGAGGGCTGCACTGTCCAGCTGTGCGAGTCCGAGGAACAGTTTGCCTTCTCGCTGGTGTGGAGCGATCCGGGCCTGCGGACGTACAAGTTTGCTGCAGAGGACCAGGCGAGTCAGGAGAGCTGGATCAAAGCCCTGCTGTCGGCCAACCACAACTACCTGACCCTGCTGGTGATGGACCTGGAGAAGAAGTACAGAGGTGAGAGGCAGAGTTACTTATTATAGATTACATGTTGATCTTTTAACACGAGTAATTTATTCCACTGCTGAAAAAAAGTAAACAATATACTTTCGGATTACCTCAATGAAAATAGTGCACCTTATATTAAAACAATTAAAGCAGTTACAGAAATTTGAGTTCCACTATTATCTTTTTTTATTAATTTTGTTAGTTTTAGTTATTATTTACAGTTTACAGTTTGGTACAGAAAAGCTCACATGGAGGACTTTGCTCTTGTAACACAAGGTATTTGCCCTAACAAAAACATTCCTTAAATTGTTCATGTAAATTCTTGGTAAGCCGAACAGTAAGACCGGTCTTTTGATTTTGCAACCTTGCCAGAAATAAAGTTTCCTCTAAAATACAAGATACCACAATAAACAAACAAAACTCCTCTACAAAAGTAGCACAGTGTAGAGTAAGCAGCTAATGTGTTGTTTGTGTATTTATCTGTTTGTCTTTGCTCTTTTCTCAGATGCATTAGTCGAGTTCCCCAATGAACCAACCAGCCCTTTCACCATGCCAAATTTCAACACTGCAGAAGCCTTTCAGGGCGCACAGTCTTCAGCGGTACCTTCGTTTCCAGCCGCAGGTGTAGCAGCGGGAGCCGGTCTGAGCTCCAATCAGATGCTCCAAGCTCCGACACTTTCCTCCAGATCAGCCAATAAAAGATCTCCAAAACTGTGGCCTAAGAGGAGTGCGAACGTGGTTCCTGTGAACACTCCTGCTGCAGCGGTAGGGGAGTGGTTAGGGGTCTGCTTAGGCACCAAGGATGAATTTATCCAATTACATGAGGATTTTGGAAAAGAGGTGAAGGAACTGATTGCTGATTGGTCAAAAAGGGGACGAGGTGAAGAAGCAGCTGGGGTTGAAAACTTAATTGATTTTGGATAAGTGTGAAGTGCATACAGAGTGTAAACCTTAACATTTGATTTTAATGTGTGTTTACATTGCAAAGGTTTTATGTAAATAGGTTTTAGAGCTGCAACCATTTTTGTTTAGATATATTTTTATATATTTGTTGTTTAAGGGCTTCTTTTTTTACTTATATCATAGAGTCAATAAAAGATCTCATGCTATACTGTTCTGTGGTGTTGTTGTTGTTTTAACACATACTGAAAATGTGGCCTCTATCTAATTGATCTATATATGTAATCTAAAGTCCTTCCTTATAAGTCGTTGAATGAAGAACAATACCAGACAAGTTTAATGTTATATGATACTAGAACATTTAAAACAACAATTTAAATAAGTTAATACCAGCGCCTTCATTTAGAATTGCAACAAAGACCTGCATCATTCGTGTCCTGTTACCAGAAATGAATCTATACCTGCCAGCCAATCAGAATCAAAAAATGTCTATGGCCTTTAAACTATATTTAGAATCAGGACAGACAAAACAAGACGAGACATTCACACATCACGTCAATCATCAGGGTATAACATGTTTTGATATTACTCAGAACTGAGTCTCTTTGCCGATGCCATAATGATCAAACGACACACAACAAATCGCAACATTATGATTTTTAGACATAAGTTGCGGGAGAAATAAAGGATTTCTGATTCTGACATCATAACGACCCAACTGATGACAGCTTTTTGCTTGACAGACACAATTGTTTAATACCAAATTGAGGTTTGACAGCAAGCTCTGTTATGAAGCAATCACATGTCATTGATCACCTTAAAATCCCCGATGTCTATATACCAGCGACTTAAAGTTCCAATCCACTTTTACTTCAAAGCAGCCCGGTGACCGTGTGGGTATAAAAAGGGCCGACTGTTGTAGGGATGCAAAGCTGGCCAAGAAGGGCGAAGTCTGTCAAATTTTAGAAGAGTCCAAATGGCTGAGAAAAAGAATGGCGGGGGGAGTCAGCGCTATTTCAGTCTCTACAGCTGCCTTGTTTTATGGTCTTTCACAGAGCTTGGTCTCTTTCTCCCTCTGTCACCTTCAAGCCCATACTTGAAGGGGCTGCATGCAACCTTTTTTCCATGAAGGATTCAACTTCTGCTTCTCTTTCTTCTGATTTTAAATAGTTAATTGTTCAGATATCAACACCGGATCAAAAGGAAGAGGCACATTGGTCCCTTATACCAACGTATAGAGTATCGCCTCATGCTGGTGCTAGTTCCCAATACATACCGTAGCTGTACATTGACATGATTGATGGCAGGCCACGCAGCTCATATATGGAGTTCAGTGGGTGGGCCACCGTCCTCCTGTTCTGAAGCAACTATACTGGGAACCAACCCAAATTAGTGCAGCCAGGGTGGGAAAGCTTCTTATTTAGTTCAATCTTCATTTGGCGTTTCTCATCACAGATATGATTTATTGTCACAGAAACAGAAATGAACAGGTCCTCCAAAGATATTAAATACTAGAACATGCTTCTCTGGCATGTGCGATGAAACCGGATAAGTGTTTTCTGCCAAAATGTGAACTTTATTTTGTTTCTTCTGACTGCGTTGGGCTTTTTGTACCAGTGCATGAACCTGCATGCCATCTTTAGAAGCTATTCCAAAACAAATAGTACATGAAAGTTATACAGACAGTATTTCCCTGAAGTATTTCGTGCCACATGAGTTGGTATTGCAGGACTGTTTATATTTCTCATTGATGCAAGGTCAGAGTCTAGAGAGCTGGTAGTCGCGTGTCACTACTGGAGCCGGACCAAAGCTCATCAGCCAACTGTTTTCAAGTTTCATGACATAAACATGGCTGGCCACTACTGATCTGGTAGTAAGATCAAACCTCACAGTAAACCTACCATTTAGCAGGTGATGACTTAAGGATATGCCACCCACGAGTACATGTTGGCACCTAGAGCAGCTTGAGGCTGTTAATTACTGTTAATCCTATCTGTTGGAGTGTGTGTTTGTGTGTGTGTGTGTGTGTGTGTGTGTGTGTGTGTGTGTGTGTGTGTGTATGCGTGTGTGTACATGTGTACGTGTGTGTATGTATATCGAGGGATTAAAGCAACAGACACTGGGGTTTGATCTGGTTATAAAAGAAACAAAAATAGCCACAACAAAGACTCTCAGGAAAAAGAAGAGGAGAAATCCTAGGGTAGATGGGTTGAGTGTCAGCATTTCCTGTCAGTCAGTTTAGCCATATTAGTCCACAGATGACACCAAAGTCACTCCTGTGTGTTGGCATTGAATTCACCTCATTCCAAGACTCCTGGGACCTATTTTGAAACATCGGTAAACCGACCCGTCCCGCCACCTCTTTGCTCCTCCCTCTTTCTCTTACTTTCCCTCAGCTCTGTTTTCCTGCCAAACCTGATGGTGTGGCTAAAGTTAGCCCCCCTTGGGCTAGTATATAAGGCTCCTAGGGTGGGATGCTTACATGTCAGTCACACAGGCTTTCCGTAGGCTTCTCTTCTTGACCACCAACAACCCCTAAAAACTTGAGAGATGGTGAGTGTGGCCATGTTCCTTGGAAGAGCAGTCTCTAGGACATCTAGGATGATGAGATGAAAGCATCACTGATACATTTGCGATCTGGATTACCAACAGCCCATGAAGCAGTCTCTTGAGCTGAGCATCCCAAACTTTGGATTTGGACCCAGTCTTAACTTTTATCTCAAGTCTTTATTTAACATCTCAAACCTTAACCATGAAGAAATACTAAAATAATTTTTTTTTTAGGAGCATTGGCTTATTATAATAGTCAATAAAGGCATTATTTTGTCCTTGAACCCTAATTGGGTGATAGATTCAATATTGATAGATTTCCTTTATAGGAAACTAACTTTCTTCACACTTTGTGATGCAAATATGATATACCAGATACAGTGATTTTGACTTTTATTTTTAGCATTCTTCCGTTGCTCTTAGCCCCAAGTGGGATGTAAAAGTTACTGAAACAAACAATTTGAATCAGGGCATCATTGGCAGCCTTTTAATTGTTTTGCTAAGATCACTGTTGGGTTGATGTTCATATGTCTAAAGTGTATTTACCTTTTATCTCCCAGGCACCCAAGAAGGCTAAGAGGAGGCAGCAGCAGGGAGAGGGTGGATCCTCCAATGTGTTCTCCATGTTTGAGCAGAGCCAGATCCAGGAGTACAAGGAGGTAAGATTTTCTTCATCACATCTCACATACTTTAAAGATTTCTAGTAAAAGTTGAGGTTCTCTCTCAGCCATGTGGGAAAAGGGACATGTTGTACTCTGCAATGACATCATGTATATCAGCTGACCTCGGTGGTAACGTGAGGAAGCTATAGGCTGGATCAGCTGGTTGTAGGAAAGCAAGAATTACCAGGAAGGACAGTAAATCACAGGTTTTTTTTTTGACAATGACAGCAGCTATCTCTCCATTGGAGTAGCTCAGAAATCCTGCTCGGAGACTGAGAAACACACGCTCAGTGACCCCACTGGAATGCTGCCCAACAGCTGGTGGACAGTCATGTTGATCAGAGCAGGAAGGAGGGGCTCATGGTAGAAAGAACAAGACAGAATTTGAGGTCGTAACATTTAGCAGGCTCTGCGTATAAATAAAAAAGGAACAATATGTTTTTTTTAAACCTTAAGAAAGTTTACCTCAATATTCAAAAATGTGGCACCATTAAGACATTTGTGTTGCTGTTATTATAGCACAACAATATTATCTGGGATGTTCGTCTGTAGAAGGTAAGACAAGTTTTGGTCATGTCAGTCTAGCTACTGTTACCAAGAATACAATGGAGACAGTAGCTGAAATAACATTGGGTACAGGGTCATCACATTTGGTCACAAGGGAAAAATAGAGAAGGGGGGGGGGGACGACAGCTGTAATCAATACCTTCTCCCTAAATGTCGCAACGGGCTCGTCTGCCATTCCGAGACCATTTTAACACCTTAGAAAGACAAGTGGCCGACCAGCTGCCAAGTCCCAAAAGGTTTGCAATGCCATCTTTGGTTTCACTGGGTGCTACGCCCAGCTATGCGGGGGACAAGAGGTGGAGAACGACTCCACATTTACACGTTTGTTTTGGCAGGCTATCTCACGCAAACAATTATCATAAGCAAGTCTTATGACGGCTACTTGTGAGAAATGTGAGGAGCGTTTTGGCAAGCCGCAATGAATCACTTACATTTTTATTTACGCCCAGTGACTGACCTCTACTCTCCCGGCAGGCTTTCACAATCATTGACCAGAACAGGGATGGCATCATCAGCAAGGACGATCTCAGGGACGTGCTCGCCACCATGGGCCAGCTGAATGTGAAGAATGAGGAGCTCGAGGCCATGGTGAAGGAGGCCAGCGGCCCCATCAACTTCACCGTCTTCCTGACCATGTTCGGCGAGAAGCTGAAGGGTGCGTTGACACAAAGGCCCAACACTTTGCTTTCTACATTTATTCCCCCACATGCTTGATATCGTTCTCTATTTAGGGATTGTTCTTATGTTTTATAACTTATCGGCTTCTTTTGCTATTAGGTGCTGACCCCGAGGACGTTATCGTATCTGCCTTCAAGGTCCTGGACCCCGAGGCCACTGGCTCCATCAAGAAGGAATTGTAAGGGCTTTTACTTTTAAATCAGTGTCTATCGCAGCAGCTCGTATTGGTATAATCAAGAAATCTTATATTCAATTTTCTCTACTTTCCCTTTCCAGCCTTGAGGAGCTTCTGACCACCCAGTGCGACAGGTTCACCGGAGAGGAGGTGAGCTGATCCGTCTTTGTCTTTGCTCATACTCACTGTCTGTTGTTGTCTAGGGTTTTAAGAAATGTCTTTCCTTTCCTTTCCTGCAGATGACCAACCTGTGGGCCGCTTTCCCCCCTGATGTGGCTGGCAATGTAGACTACAAGAGCATCTGCTACGTCATCACCCACGGAGAGGAAAAGGAAGAGTAAATTCCACCTATTCCAACATCTCTACCTCCGTTCAAACCCGTATCTGACCTACCAACATACTCAATCCCCTCCTCTCCGACGACGTGGCTTCCTTGCACACTTCCTCTCCCCTGGCCATCTCTTTCCGCTTGCCAGCTCACTACGAAAAGACTTGTTTCCTTTAACAACATACTAAGTGAGAGGAATGATGGCAGTGGAGTTGTTTGTGTGTGAGTAAACAGGAGGACATGGGATTA